CACGCACGCACGCACGCACGCACGCACGCACGCACGCACGCACGCACGCACACACACACCCGTAGATTTTCCGTACCCGGTAATACGGGGAGAAATCGTGGGGATATATATTTTTTGTGGTGTTCAATTATATGAATAAGGACATGACAGATGAAATTCTGCTAACAAACGAGGGACAATTTGACTTCGCGGAGGTTTCTAATGAAGTTCACGATGTACCGAGTAAGTGATGTAATGTTATTTAAGTCGAGAAAAAAAGAGAATGACAATAATAAACTTGTTGTTTATAATTGTATATAACTATGAGAATCCAATTAAGAAAAGTTTACAGGATTAGATTGCTGTTGTTTAATTTTTCAGAATTGGAGTTATATCGTAGGAAAAAAGTCGATATGAAAGCCAATTCCGGCTCGAGTGTGTCATTTATGATTATTCCAAGAGAATTGGGGTACATCACTATAAAAGTGACCACTCACAGTGTTTTAGCTGGCGACAGTGTTGAACACAAATTACTTGTCAACGTAATGATCTTTTGTTTCTATTTTTTGCTCGCGCAACTGTCCGACAACCATAAATATGTTGTTCTACTTTAAGGCTGAGGGAGAAACGCAATATAAAAACGAAGCGGTATTACTGAATTTGAGAAATGCTGACCAAGCGGGTGCAAATGTCATCATCAACATATCTAATAATGCAGTTCCAGAATCCGAAATTTCAAATTTCTCCAGTTGGTAATAATATTACTTCCAATTTAATAAAATCTTGTCAATTTTCTATTCTCCAAGCTAATCTCTTCTACATTGTTTATAATCCACATTGAGTATCAATTTATAAAACTTTGAAAAATATCCCACTCTTTTATTGATTGTTTATTATACAGGTTACTTCCAAGTATCCCGGACTTGGCAAATTTAATAAGACTGCCATTTAGTTGCGGCGAGCAGAACATGCTCAACTTTGTACCAAATATTGTCAATCTAAATTATCTGAAGGTACCGATAATGATCTTTTTTTGCTACATGACGCACAATATAATTTATAGTAAAAAAAACTACTTTTCAGAATACGAATCAATTAACGCAAGTCGTGCAAAGCAAAGCGTTAAAATATCTGGACATCGGCTACCAGCAAGAATTGACTTACAAACTTAATCTTAGTTTTACTTATTATTTTTCATCTTTTTCTAGTTCTAAAGGATAAAAGATAAAAAGTAGATTAAAGTTAATCTGTAATCTGTATTAATAGAAATGGACATTAGACAGCAATTACACGACTTTGTTGATCGAAGATTATATAATCAAGCCATATTATTTGTCAGATTTGTTCCAACCGAAGAAGCAAACGAGAGCAACATGGCTGTTATGGAAGTGAGCCTACCTTCTGGCTTCACAGTAGACCAGAGATTCGCTACCGAGTTTAGAGATATCATCACATGTAAAACGTGTGGAAACTAGAAATGGTGACACAATGGTGGATTTATATTTCGACAAGGTATATGTCACAGATCATAAATAATTATCAATTAACAAATTATTTGAATAGATTTTTCCATAAAAATCTGATGAGAGGTGTAATTGATAAATAAGAAATAAAGAAAATCATTTATTATCATAGAT